CCCATTTGCCGTTCTAGAATGTTGCTGATCGTTGCCGCCAGGTGGGCAATCTTTTCAATGTTCAGAGTTCAGACCATGTGTAAGCATTTTTCTTAGCACGGGGAGATGGCAAAACCTAATCCGATCCATTAACTTGACCTCAATTTAACTCATAAAAAGTAGATTAGGATCAATTTTTATTGGACTTCTGAGTATTTGGGTCAACTCGAATGGGTTATAGGTTATGCATGAAATAATTTGTGGGTTTATAATTTGACTCATTGGACTTATTTATTTTTAAAAAAAATTTATTTGGTAATTTTTTAAAGTAAAATGACTTATAAATATAGTTTTAAAGAAATTTAATATGATATTAGAATCTAAAAAACCAAATTATAATGCACCATTTTTCAAAAAATTTGGTAAAAAAATATATTTGTAATGAATCTAATAAATATATTCTGTAATAATAAATATATTTATTCAATGTATTTTAAAATAAGTAACTTAGATGAATATAGGTTTTTTTATTTTTAAATAAGGTTTTTTGTTTGGTTAACTTATATGCATTTTTCACTTGTTATTTGTTTTTTGATCTTCATTCTTCAAGTTCCCTTTTAATAGGACTTTTTGAAATTCCTCTTAACATGGTTTTCAATTTATTTTAGGGTTAACAGATATTTTCTTGTAGGTTCAGGATCTCTGTCATTGAGTGGACGCGTGAACTATGGAAAATAGTATGCTGTTGCCTGTTGATATAAATATCTGGTCTCAAAACTCTTGAATTCAAGATCTCTGTAATTGAGTGGACACGTGAATTATGAAAAATAGTATGCTGTTGCCTGTTGATATAAATATCTGGTCTCAAAACTCTTGAATTCACCTGAAAACAAATGCCGTGGTAAGTATTTTTAAAGTATTTAGAAATCAAATTGAGTTTAGATTAATTTGAATTCAAGTTATATTAGACTAAAAAAGCTCTTTTAAAATTTATTTTTTTATTTATGAGAGTTAAATTTGAGATTTTATTTAAAAAATATTAAATTTTTTTAATTTGAATCAATAAGTCGTTAATAAGATCACAATAAGTTAGCATTCAAATCTTGAGACTAATATCTAAAAAAAATTAATTTAATTTCTTTAAATAGATAGATTGATATAAAACATGTCTTTAAAATTGTTAAAAAAAATTCTTAAATTATACAACAGCGGATGGGTGAGAACACTATAAGTAATATTATCTTATCTTTTTTTGCAACAAATTCGTAAAAAGTTGAATTCATAATAGGATCTTCAAAATCCCTCTTAACAAAGACTATTGTAATGGGGTCTTCGCTTTTTTTCTAGTTAATGAGAAATTTTTTGAAAGATTAATTCTTGAAATTTATCTCGAGACCTTTTGCTTTTGAAGTGTGTATTAAAAGGTTTGGAAATGTACCCTATTTATACGCATGAGTTGAGGTGCACTTTTAGGATTAGAATTTCTTTATCAATTATTTCCTTATCAATTTAAGATAAAAATTTTATTTTTATTTGACAAGTAATAGGAATGCTTTAATCCTATTGATAAGGACAATAAATATTTTAATTAAATATATTTTTTAATATATATTCTTCCTTAAAGTGTAAGACTTTTACTTCAAATTCCTTAATGTGTACTGTGACTCTTTTAACTATTAATTAATAAAAATGAATAAAGATATGGGTTTCAAATATAAAAAAACTCAAATTTTTTTATTATTTTTAAAATTTACAAAAATTTCATTTAATTTTTTAAATAATATGAAAATGTTGTTTTACAATTTGCTTTGTGCTCGTACTATAACTCTTTTAATTATTAATAAAGATGTGAGTTAATATTAAGGAACTTGCTTTTCTATTAATAATTAATAAAATGTGT